TTCAATTCTTTAAAAGAAATTGCCATTTCAGAACTATAGGTAAAACAATTATTTTGGATACTTTTTTCTTTGAATTCGACTAAATTGCACTCACAATAAATGACAGAAATAAAGGGGCAGTTAATATTAGTTCCATTTATTCTTTTATTTCTCGTATTTTCTTTCATATTTAAGTTGTATTATCAGATATAAGAAAACTTTATACTGAATAGTTTGTCACACACAAACCACATTTTTAGTTTAGTTACTTTATCCTCCACTTTTATTGTGTTCGATATCTTCTAGGTAAGACAAGTCAAAATATTACTGTGCAGTCTGAATATTGTTTCTGAGCTCAGTGTAATATATACCTAAGCAAGCTGGGGTTGTTAAACTTGGACATGCAGTGACTAAGTCAAGATACCCATGAAGTAGGTTGAACTGTGGTGTATGAATGGAGATGAGAGATGGAGAATTGCTGTAGGTATGGGTAGGGGATCAGGGCCATGAAAGATGAGGTGAGAGGGATCCTGGTAGTGACTGGCAAGGGCACATGGTGGAAGGGTGCTCTCAGGATTAAAAATCTGAGGCCACCCCCTTATTTCAGCTCAGCAACCAGGTTGACTGGGCACTGGGAGCTTTGGGTTGTGGCTGCTGCCAGATATGTTATAAAAAACTCATCTGTGATTTCACTACAGATGAAAGACAGCTGCTTTTTATCACTGAGACCTGAATGGGTTAGAGGGGCATTCTCCTCTTGGAAATGGGCTTGTCAGGGTTTTGGATCTGGCATCATAATGTGCCATGGCAGGGAGAAGAGGTGGCAAGTGTCACTTGGGAGATACAAGTAAGTGAAGTTATTGTTGCACAGATAATGTCAAGCCCTGTGAGGCTGTCAGATTCAGGAAACAAAAACCATTTGGATTTCTGGAAAGATCTAGTACAGTATTGTGACAATTCTGAAAGTCTGCTAAAGCAGTTCTCCAAATCAATTTATATCTAGCATAATTAAAGCAGAGTCTTGAGAGTCTCTTTAAAATGCCTCCCCACCCCCACCCTTCCAGCTGAGTTGTCTCTTTTGCAACCATCCTGTTTTCTCCCCTATGTTTCCAAGGCCTGCTAGACATTTCATCACAGATAACCAAATGTGAGGCCTTGTTTCTGCAGTTGGGCTGTAGGAACAAGCTAGGATTGCTGCTATTGTACCAACCTTTTTGCTGAAAAACAGCATCCCTACCTGAGCTGCAACTTACCACCTTGTTATAATGGACTTCCCAAAGTTTATGCTGCTGGGGGAAATCAATCTGCTTTCCTTGGGGGAGGAGTTAGAGGTAGCCCTTGAGTAAATGAGAGACAGAATATAATAACCTCCATCCATAGTATTATGCTACCTGATAAGGGGAGATACACGTAGACTTATTGAGATTATTATTTCATGTAGCGGTAGCAAGTTTTTAAACTTAGAAGAAATGCTGCTTCTGATCAAATAAATCAGATTTATCCATTTTTCTTTTCTTTTTTGAAAAGGAGGATACAGTAATTTTACAAAATAAAAGTTGGTTTTCACATAATTTCAAATATCAAACCATAAATCTTCATTTAGAGTCCTAACAGATAGGTTAACAAGCAGGCAAAGCTACTATCAAACCAGGTTATGCTTTATGAACCAGAGCACAGAGTATTGAAAAGGAAAGGTTTCTCACTGTTCTGCAAGAAAGTGTGATGAATTTTGCTTTATGAGGATTAGCATAGTTGGTAAGATTCCAAAATATACAGGTTTTCTGTGGCCCACACAAGTTTCATTTATTTATTCCAATTATATGTTGGTATTCTTCCAAGTAACTGAAGGACAGCACTGGATTCCTATCAGTCAAAACCTTTACTGGATGCTTTGTTCCCATAGCCTGAGAAAACTCCCAAGAATACTGTGGACAGCCATGAAAACAATCCAATGGATCATCGAACAAATCAACTCAGAGTTCTCAGTCGAGACACAAATGACCAGGCTCAAATTATCCTACTTATGAGAAGACCTATCTCTTTGGGGAAGGCTCTAATGCTGGGAAAGGTGGAAGGAAATAGAAGAAGGGGATGACCAGCAGCAAGGTGGATGAACTCAGTTACAGTGGCAATAGGTGAACTGTTGGAAGACCTGAAAGATCAGGTTAGGGATAGATCGTCATGGAGAAAATCTAGCTATGTGGTCACTAAGAGATGACAACCACTTGATGGCACATAATCATTCAACTTCTGATATATTTATCTTTAAAGATGTATATTTGACAAATCTCATTTCAAGAACAGTTTTTAGTTTGTCACAAGAATAGCAGTCTCTTTATTCTTTTACACATACTACTTATGGCCTTTTCCTTTCTTTTCCCTCTTTGTACTCCAGCTTTTTTATTCATCTGCTTTTCTCCTCTTTGAACCCCTCAGTTTCTCTCTCTCTCCAATCCTCTTAGGGTTCCTGCCTGCCTTCTTTATAAGGAAGTGCCACTTAGCTTTTTCCTTGCATTTGTCTGTTTCATCACAGTGGGAAGGTTAAAAAAAAGACCGACCACTAAAGTATACAGTATGAAGAAAACTTGTCTCACTTTTCTTTCCATCTTAGCCAAGGCAAAGAACTGAAAGAATTAACATGTGCTTATATCTCCCTTAATCAATTCCATATTTTGAATAAAAAGGTGTTGAATGTTTTGCAGAGTAGTGTTCAAATAGTCTATTTTAAATTTAATATTCAAATGTATATTACATCTGAAGCTGTAATGGAAACTAATTGATGTTATAAAGGCAATTTGCATCAGGTTTCCTTAGCTGCCTTTGATAAAAGTATTTCTGATAGGTCTACAAAATACAGTTGTTATTCTAGTGGTCTGATTATGATTTTGGAGTACAGTTTTGAATTTTTCTGAATAGAGGCAGTACTCAGGAGTGATTGGCCCCATCGGAGTTAAGCTATTTTGCCTTTCCACTGTCATATCTCTGCAGCTCCGGTTTGTACCAGAAACCTATTGCAATTTCCTATTTTGAAATTACGGGTTTCAACAATCAGCCGGTTTGAAAATAAACATTTCCCCAAATCAAATCTCTATTATTTAAAAAAAAAAAAACCTTTTGAGTGACAGCGTTATACAATTCTATCGTGAAGGACCCCGTATCTATATACTTGTGATACAGGTCCTAGAGTATCTGAAACAGGTCTAACGACAGTGATTTAATACGATGATCAGAGGTTGAGAACGACGTATGTGCGGAAAGGTAGGCCATCCTTCTAGGAGGAGCCGAAGCGACTTTCCGTCCTCCCTAAACTCCGGCCGTCCTCCGCCTCTTTTAAACCCCTCAGACTTAGCCGGGCATCAATAACCGCCGGCGGCTGGGCTGTGGACAAGCGTCAGCGCCTGGCAGCGTCCGGGCGGGAGAGGCGCCCCTGAGGGCGAGGCAGGTGCCGCCGCCAGTCCTGACCCGAGAACCGCTTTTAGAAGCGGAGGTCTGCCAGGCGACAGCCGGCCCTACTTCGCTCAGCGACAGGAGCGCTGTCTAAGCTTTCCGGAGCTCAGCTGGCCAGCGGTAGAAAGGCACAGCCCAGCGGGCCGCCGTTGTCTCCCTCCTTCCACCTTCGGCTGCGCGCCGGAAAAGTTACTTCTCTCCCTGCTCGGCCGCCCCTCTGG